AGATGCGGTCTGGTGTGATAGGTTTTAGAAAAACATTTTCTTTATCGTGCCAACGTTTCCATCTTTATTGAGATCATCTTCAGGGCATGGGATTTACAAACATTGTTTACATTTAACAAATACATTTAGGACGTTGAGAAGTGAATTTGTACAATGCAAAATATATTTTTTATATTCAATCAAAGTATTTCTACTCACTCGAAGTGTTTGTCTTCTGTGTAATTGTGCCATTCTTGCGTGTCGTGTTGAGAGTGCCAGTGAGATATTGCTGTTTTGTGTTTATATAATTATAGATTATATATTTATATATTTTGTGTTTATAGATTTTGAAGGGGTGAGGGAGGAAGTCGGTATAGAAAAGACATTTTTGTTTAAGGCTTCTTTGAGGTGAAAAGAGCCAACGAAGGGAAACAATGTTATCTATATTACATTCCAAACAAATATTTTCACATAGTCTAATTGTTCAACAATTTAGCTTTCCTTTTACTATTTATCCCTTTCTATATAATCCTGAAAGGATAATCTGGCCGAACCATTACCAACACATTTTTTCCCTTCTAAAAAAAGAGCCGACGCCTTATGCAAAAATGTCTTTTCTATACCGATATCTTTCCCCACCCCTTCAAAATCCAACGTATATAAACACATAATAGCAAAATCTCACTGGCACTCTCGACACGACACGCAAGAATGGCACAATTACACAGAAGACAAACACTTTGAGTGAGTAGAAATACTTTGATTGAATAAAAAAAAATATATTTTGCATTGTATAAATTCACTTTTCCACATCCAAAATGTAATTGTTATATGTAAACAATGTTTGTAAATCCCAGGCCCTGAAGATGATCTCAATAAAGATCGAAACGTTGGCACGATAAAGAAAATGTTTTTTAAACCTATCACACCAGACCGCATCTCACGATTTCTGAATAATTATCGATTAACGGTCACTAATCACCACACACTCACACACTTATTTCAAATCTTTGACACCAACCAACCTCCCAAGTTTTAACATCCCTTAACCCAAAGATTTGTTAACCCCGATGTTGACTTTTCTCATCATATGCTTTACATATTACACAAATAAACTCCTAATGAACTCATTATTATCAAAAATCTCACGACAGTTCTATAAAAGATTTTTTTTATTACATTTATTTGGTATTTACAACTACAAGTGATGTATTAAGTAAATATGTTCGTTAAATTATCATTTGAGGCTTGTAGGAGAAGTTGCCCAGTGATTTTCAGGTAGGGTTGGAAGTGATAAATTTCGTACGAATAGATTACTGTGTGTGTTCAGTGATTGATGAAATTTTTTATACCGGGTTTTGATGAGTTCATGTACAAACGGGATGTGTAGGTCTTTATGGATAGTGTAATTTGAAACGTAAAAAGGAGCATTTATAATTTGACGGAGAATTTTAGATTGGATTGATTGGAGACGCTGGGAATTGGAATCCTTGGTTGAGCCCCACACTTCACAATAGCCCTATAATTTCTATAAAAGAAATTAAAATTTGAGATGATTTTTAATTGTGTTATTTAGCGACCGGTGGTTCAATGAATATTAATGAGTACCTGGCCTCACATATAATTTGTAATTTGAAGTTAATCGTGGCAGACTTTCTACATTTCATTTCGATCTAATTATTCGAATTTCGGAGTTTGTTATCAATAAAGTATGTTAATTTACACTTTCTCCTCTATCGCCTCAGAGGCGCTTTATATTTAGCAACAAAACCGTCTCATCACGAGAGAAAGTAAAACACCCTTTCATGGCATTGCCGTTTTCATTTTGAACCCCTTTTGCATTTCTCTAGCGAATAAGCAAGCCTTTCTTTGGGAAATATATACAACATGGTAGACATCTATTTGCATTTATATTCCCTGAGGATTTAATTGTTTAAGCGGTCCGGATTCTAATCTCTCATCACTCACTGACTTGTAGTTTATTACAAGTAGTTTCCTATTATTTCTAAAGGGTTCACTCTTCTCTTGAGCTTACACGTATTCACCCATTGAACCATTGAAAGTCCGAGAATAAGAGAACAAGACTTTCAGGTGTGCACCAGCACGGAAATCCTCTATGGCAATCTTCTCGACTGTGATGTTCGAGAAATCAGTTCTTTCAAAACCAAACAAAATGTTGTTTTATTGATAATAATTGTGATGAAAACATCGTGAAATATTAGACATTATTTTCTATTGGTTACCAGTGCTTTTCCTCGGCCTTTTTATTTATTAATATTCATTAAGAATCTGTTTGTCATTTTTGTCATGATTTACGAGTATACCCGCCAAGTGCGGCAGGAGCTATTTGTAATATGATAACATTGCTATTAATTTAATATCACAAACTGATTTTTAATGTATATTTCTATATGGAAAAGCCCTGAGCGTGAGATTATAATTATGATCCTTCATCATCTATATTATGTTGGCCGATCATCCATTCTTTAAAATTTATTACTTCAGGTTTGGTCAAATACGTTTTTTTATTACATATTTGCCCCTCTTAATCAATTGAAACGAATAAAAATTATTTGTAGAATCGTAACAAACATCAAGAAAAAAAATCCTTGAAATAATATCATGGATTAGATAAATTAAATTAAAACGCCTACTATAATAATATTGAAAACGTCAGAAATTAAGCTTAACCTGTAATCAAAATTGTATACAGTAAATTCACTAATTTCGTGGTCAACGAGTTTTAGTTGAGATAAAAAAGTCAATGGCAAAACCATAATTAATTGTAATATATTAATTGGTCAAACGGACCACGAAATTAGTGAATTTAATGATTTAAAATGAAGTATACTTCACTAAAGCTCTCCGTGGCCATTTCATTTATGGTCGATTACACCGATTACACGACATTTAAAAAATGGCAAAAAGGAAGGAAAATTCAAAAGGTGGGGTTGAGATGTATGGCTAGTGCCCCGAGTGGATCGAGGTCACGATAGTTCAAGTGGTAGAGCAGCGGCGTATCTAGCGGATGGTCGTGGGTTCGACGCTCATGACACTGCCTTTTTATCTCAACTAAAAACCATAATTAACTAAAAGATATTAATTGGTCAAGCGGACCACGAAAACTAATGAATTAAAATAAAGATTGTATTTCCAAAAGCCGAAATAGCTCAAGTGGTAGAGCAGCGGCGTATCTAGCCGAAGATCGTGGGTTCGAATACCGCTCGTGACATTGACTTTTTTATCTTAACTAAAAACCTTAATTAATTGTATTGTATACAATAATTGCCTTTATATTACATTACATTCAATTGTTATTTAAGTAATTAAAGCTTAAATTATACTTTATTTATTTAGAAATCGTGGTAGATGCGGTCTGGTGTGATGTAGGTTTCAGAAAAACATTTTCTTTATCGTGCCAACGTTTCGATCTTTAATGAGTTCATGTTCAGGGCCTGGGATTGACAAACATTGTTTACATATAACAATTACATTTTGGATGTGGGAAAGTGAATTTGTACAATGAAAAATATATTTGTTATATATTCAATAAAAATATATATATATATTGCATTGTATAAATTCACTTTTCCACATCCAAAATGTAATTGTTATATGTAAACAATGTTTGTAAATCTCAGGCCCTGAAGATGATCTCATTAAAGATCGAAACGTTGGCACGGTAGAGAAAATGTTTTTCTAAAACCTACATCACACCAGTCCGCATCTCACGATTTCTAAATAAATATCGATTAACGGTCACTAATCACCACACACTTAAATTATACATGGTTTTACATTGTATATTTGTCCACCAAGATCACTTAAAGCGGATAATACACGTACAATATGATTGAGCATTAATCGGGTTTGTGCAATAAAGTTGATTTTGTGTAATGTATAATAGTAATACTTTATTAGGATTGAAAAATACCGTAAATATTACGAAGCTACCAAATCTGCTGAGTTAATTGCATAAGAAAGCTTATAAATAAAATAAAACAAACGGTTATATAAAGCAGATGTCTGAATGCAATGGAAAATAAAATATTGAAAAAGTGTAAGGATCAAAAGAAATCTATTCCGTGTTGAGAACTTTTAGTAGACCAGAACAAAATGGAAATTTTCTTTAGTTTCAATTAATTAAGGTTTTTAGTCGAGGTAAAAAAGTCAGTGTCACGAGCGTGATTCGAACCCACGACCTTCGGCTAGATACGCCGCTGCTATACCACTTGAGCTATCGTCACTTCGATCCACTTGAAGAATGGCAAAAAGGAGGGACTATTGAAAACGTGGTGTTGAGATGTATGGTTAGTGCCCCGAATGGATCGAGGACACGACAGTTCAAGTGGTAGAGCAGGGACGTATCTAGCAGATGGTTGTGGGTTCGAATCCCGCTCATGACACTGACTTTTTATCTCAACTAAATTCCTTAATTAACTGAAAGATATTAATTGGTCAAGTAGACCACGAACACTAATGAATTAAAATAAAGATTGTATTTCCAAAAGCCACACAGATACGTGTATCTTACGCTCCACTGTACCGAGAAGCAACATAAACCCACTCTTTACAGGCCAGGATTTAAAAACCTAACATACATTTTTTTATTTCTAATTATAAACTATAATTATTGATGAAAATCTAATGTTATTTTTAATTAGAAACCGTTTCTTGTACACCAATTATTTCTTTATTGTTTCCCCATTTACTTTTGTTTGCTTTTTTGTTTACAACATATTTCTTGTACCGTTAATTTAATTATAACTTTTTTCGTTTTTAAATTGTTTCCCTGTATCTATCTAATTTCATTGTAAACTTAGTTGTATTGATACTGACATTTTGGGACAAGAGGAAAAATAAAACTCTTTCGAAAGTTACAGTACGATAACTCCTGGCCAAAGGCCGATACGGCCAATAGCATTAAGGCTAATTTATTGTTTTAAACAAAATTGTACAAGGAATATATCTTTTTTAAACGACAATTATGTTTCCTTATTGTTAATGACTAATGATTTTAGGTGGTAGCAGTTTTTAAAAGAGGATAAACAATCTCTTACCGAGGGGATGATAGAACATCATTTGTCATTATGGAAAATCATTTTTCATCATGGAAATTATTCAAAGTAGGTTAATTCCTTTTTACAGTTATTGTAAAGGTTTATTTCATTTCATACCCCAGCGTAATTTCTTGAACAGAAACCAATTAATGAAGAACCATAAGTATCACCATAATAGGGAAATTAGGTTACGGTGGGTATATGACCTCTAAAATGTCTATTATCCGCTCTCTAGGATATACAGTTAAGTGCATACAAACAAGCATCACCGTCAATATCGTTAATTATTTGGTTCGTAAAAAATTTTTGCCTCCGTGTCAAACCTTGTATACTTTTGTCAAGCCATAAAAACATTGATCAAGCCATGAATATTTACTTTTTCCGGTATTCCCATCAGCCGTCTTTTCTGTCTGAGCTCTAAAACCTCCACTATCCCACTCGTTGTATAAAGCAGATGTCTGAATACAATGGAAAATCAAATGTTTTATAAATACTTGTTGAGAACTTATGAAAGAGTTGAACAATTAAATCACAGTGTCGACATTCATTGCATAGCAAAGCTTTAAAATAAAGATCATCGAGTTTTAACATTCATTGCATATCCAAAAGCTACTCACCTTCCAAGCGTACCGACAAGCATCCCGAAGGCACGCCCGAAGTTGCTGAAATCCAGTACATATAATTAACCATAAAAAGTGTGTTCCAATGTTATATGAATTTAATCCATTACAGTTCGTGGTCCGATTGACCAATTAACATTTTTCAATTAATTAATATTTATGAAAGGTATTGGTTAAGATAAAAAGTCAGTGCCACGAGCGGGATTCGAACCCACGACCTTCAGCTAAATACGCTGCTACTCCACCACTTGAGCTAACGTGACTTCGATCCGATCGGACACCAACTTCCAATCTCAAACTCACCTCTCGAATTGGTGGGCCATAAGTTGGTGTCCGATATTAATTGAAAAAAGTTATACGAATTTCAGTAATTTGAACAACACAAATTTCAATAAGAACAAATACATCAAAACCTCTAAAAAAATTCATTTTAGAATTCAACCCTGCCGTCTAAAAACTGAGGGTAGAAATGAATGAAAAATTACAACTGTTATTCAAAAAGACGTCTGCATAATCTCATTGAAAGCATCAAAGAATCTTTTTGGACGACTGAGTTCAAAGAAAACGGAAGATTATTTAAGTCCCTCGCAAGTGAGTCCATGTGAATGGATTTCAAGAAAACCGTTAGCTTGCATTCAATGAGTAAGTTCAACTCCATTCACATGTCCAAAGCGTAACCCGTCCACCAACGACCAAAATAATTTTTGCCTCCACTAGGATGTTGTTTGGACGAATTTTATCACTTAGTTGAGAATTATGTCCCTTAATTTCCTTTCTCAATAAAAAAAGTTTTGTTTTTCCTTATTGAAGGTACTGGAAGATGATGAATCCTGTATACTTTAACAGTTGGGATATTTTAATCATACAGAATGTTAGCATTGTATAAATTCATTTTATTTATTTATTTATTTTTAATCTAAAATTTTTAGCATTGTATAAATTCATTTTTTCATATCCTACATGTATTTAAACAATGTTTATAAATCCCAGGCCCTGAAGATGATCTCAATAAAGATCGAAATGTTGGCACGATAAAGAAAATGTTTTTCTAAAACCTACGTCACACCAAACCGCATCTCACGATCTACGAATTGACTAACGGTCACTAAACACCACACAATAATAAGGAATTTGTCTTTAGAATTTAAGAACGTAACTAGTAATGGAGAATTAGCCGACCTATCAGATTCCTAGAGTTACGCTGGAAAAATTTCAATGTTGAACAATTACGGAAAAAAAGAAATTATTGCATGTTCGATGTCTTTGTTTGCAATCCTTTTAAAATTAAAACAGAATCATAACGGCTAGCCCACAATTGCTTAAACGGTTTTCCTCCTTCAGTGACATCAGATCAATTTTGTCATCTTTGGATACGACAGACGAAAGTTTACAGTCAAAGCGCTTGGCAGCAGCATTTTTGATTGCAGATACAAGTTGTGGATATATCACTCCATATTACGCTCTGAGACGCTGGGAGGAGAAGTACGATCTTTTTTACGCGACACGGTCATCATCAGAGAATGAGTTCTCATTAGTGTTCATTAAACAAGAGTACGGTGACCTTAACTATCTTAACTAAAAACGTAACTAACTTAAAGATAAGTCCACTTGACGTCGAGAATCAAATATATTACACGACATTTGAAAAATGGCAAAGAGGAGGGAAAATTCAAAAAGTGGGGTAGAGGTGGGAAGTTGGTGTCCGAGGGGATCGAGGTCACGATAGCTCAAGTGGTAGAGGAGCGCTGTATCTAGCCGAAGATCGTGGGTTCGAATCCCGCTCTTGACACTGATTTTTTATCTCAACTAAAAACCTTACTTAATTGGAAGATTGTTCAATATGACTCACCTGAAGGTCATAAACCAATTCAGCATTCATAGTTAAATGTTTCAAAAATTATTAGGCTTACACGTACTCAGTTCTTTGAGTAATGATTATTTGGAGATCGTGAGATGCGGTCTGGTGTGACGTAGGTTNGTAATTTTCTAGTTTAATAACTAAAACAATATATCATCTATATATAATAAAGTAAGTCTAAAATAAACCATATAGCAAATGTAAAAGAACAATAGAACACAAACAAATATCGACAATAACCTTTAGAAGGCAGAAAGTCGAGCCTTCTCCGTTGACCCTTTCACTGCTGTCGGTTTATATAAAGAATGAAGGAGTCTTTTTATTCAATGAGCTAAAGGTAGGCAGGCGAAGGAAAGAACGGAGAAAACCAAACCCGCAAAATTCTATAGTAAATCCAACATTAATATTTCCTTTTTTCTTTGAATTTCATGGTATTTTGTACGGTTACGTGCTTATTTATAACAACAAGTACAGATTAAATATCCAGAAATATTTTTCCGTGAGCAAAGTTAATAATATCATTGCGTACTGGAAAATAAAGGTCATTCTTAAAATATAAACGGTGTATATTTTTCCTTCTACATAAATGATAATTTAATCATATCGGATGTAGTGTGTAAACAAAAAACAATTGAAAATTCAAAAAATATACACAGCTTTGATTACAATATATATGCAAAATTATCAAGTAAATACCATATTATTTTCTTGTGTGTTGTCATTAAGATACAATTTTTCGTTTTGTACTGACGAAATAGACAAGTCCTCAATTTTTTGTAAGCTGACGAAGGTAATTGGCGGCGGTTGATCGGAAATTCCCTTACAAAGCTAGACCATTTTGAATCATTTGATTGTATGAAATTAGATTAATATTACGTTCATAAGGATTTATTAATCCAGCCATAATAAATAATGCCGAAGTGGTGCGAAAAAAGTAGATTTACAATTTACGATTGTTCCGATGTGAAAAGTTTTTTTGTTTTAACAATGTAATTTTTTTTAAGATGGCTCAAGAAAGGCACACGTCAAATTTACCTTTTTCAATTGGACATCAACACGTTTTAGAAGCAAATTAACCCTTTTCCCGTCAAATATACCATTTTTAATTTGAAATAAACACTTTTAGAAGTTGCTTACCCCATTTTCCCCTAAATTTACCTTTTTAATTTGAAATCAAAACTTTTAAAAGCTAATTAACCCATTTTCCCCTAAATCTACCATTTTTAACTAGGAAATCAACACTTTTTGGAACCAAATTAACCATTTTACCTGTCGAATTTGCTCTTTTTAATTTGCAATCAATTTGTGAAAATATCCTTTTTTCCTTCAAATTTACCGTTTTTAATTTCAAATCGACACATTCCGAACTAAATTAACGTTTTCCAAATCAACCATTTTTTTAAACATGAAAAACATTATGGTGATGGTATAAAATGTCAGAACGTAAAGAAAAATCCCTTTATTTAGATTTTAAAAAAATATATATGAAATAATTGAGATCTTAGAAGACAATATAAAAATTAATTATAATTAAAAATAAAAATCATGTAAAATAAATATACAAATGATTCTTATTTCAATCTGTGCCAAAGCCCGCGTATGTGTTACGCATGCAGAAATGTTCCTTGATGTATCCAACTTTGAAGGGTGCAATTCTTTGGCTCCATATAGAAAGCGCGTAGGAACGCCACCTGAGAGGAGATTTGTGCTTGACCACGGTAGCGAGTATTTGGACTATAAGAGTATAAGAGTCATCTTCACCCGATTAAGAATAGGCCACGCGAGATTGACACACGGACACTTACTTTTGGGCCAAAGCTCGCGTATGTATCCGGCATGTAGGGAAAGGTTGCTCGATGTGCCCCATCTAATTGAAGGGTGCTATTCTTTAGCTCCATACAGAGTGCAGTGATGCCACTAGATTTGAGAATTATGCTTGAGCACGGCATCTAGTATTTGGGTCCCCTGGGTTTTATTCTTGGAGGAAATGGGGTAGTTCTAGTGTACATATATACTAATCATAGTTGTGTATACCTATTTTGTGTTAGGGGGGCATCGGTGGCCGTAACGGTTCAGGCGGCGCTCATCACTGTGAGATAAAGGGCCCAGGTTCGAATCCAGCGGCCCTGCGTTCGAACCCGACATACTTACAAATGGGCTTTTTTTTTCAAAAACACCGGCACCCTGAGGGTTTATATATGACCTCTGCTGTTGCAAACTCTCGTATAAAATAAAAATTTAAAAAAAAAACTGATGTTGTGTGTGTTGATCGTGAATGTATTTATTAGCGTGAATGTGTGATATGAGAGGGTCGATGACGGAATATCGAGACCCATTGACCCTCAATTAGGTTAGTTATATAATATGCCGAAAGGTCGTGTTCAGAGTGAATATATTTATTGACGTGAATGGGTGAAGGTCGATGGTAAAATTGACCCTCTCACAACACACATTCACGTCAATAAATACATTCACTCTCAACACGACCTCAATTGGGCTAGTTGTACAATATGTGTAAAGGGAGGAACATCGTATACTCCACCATCCTAATTAAATGAATAATGCTTGAGCACGGCAGAGAGTGTTTG